GCAGCAGAGAAACTTCTTCTTTTCCTTTTTTATGCCACTTTCTTTTGTCCATTTTATTAGGTATTTAGTAGAGTATGCAATTTCATTATAGCGAGTACGAAGTAAGGCACCCGGCAGCCGATGCCCTTCTTACCCTTTCCTCAATGTTAGGCTTCCACTACAGCTTCCTATCCAGGATCAAGCCTAAGTGCTTGACCCTGTTACCCGCAGGCAAACAACCTCACTGATGGGATTTACTGCGAGGCCGCCGCACAGTGCCGCGAAGGTGGACAAAAATACAAAAATCGACTGTCTGGAAACTTAGATGTTTTGATGTCAAGTTACAGCTAAATCTCCAACTAAGAGAAGTTCATAAGTTATTTTGTGATAAAAACAACTTTCAGCCTCACACACCCCCTCAAAGTACACCTATTTTCTACATACCATTTCATTTCGGTGATTCGCACATAAAAGTGGTCGCAGTTAAAAATTTGTTAAAAATACATTTTTATTCCTAGCAAGATCAACTTTTGCACTTTGATAAAGATATATGCGACAAACCAAAAAATGTATGGTTAATGGAAAAAAAATTTATACAAATATTTTTTTTTTATTAATAAATAAATATATGATTAAACATACCAAAATCCGAAAATTGGTAAACTTTGGAGAAAAAAAAAAAAAAACATCTTGAAAGTTCGTGAAATTTTTTTTTTTGGTTATGATAGTTTGGACCTTCTACTAACAGAAACAATCGAAATCTCTTCCAACTTTTTCCAATATTTGAAAATTTTCAATTTTGAAAAAGTGACAATATGCCTTTTTTTGGTATTATTTTAGCTGATCTATATTTACAATACTTTTTCTGAATGCCCTAAGATCTAAATTTTTGGTTCGCTTTTCAAAAATAAGGTGTTGAATTGAAAGCTAAAAGTGCCAAAAAAAAATTAAGAGGTACAGGGTGCTTTGAAATGAAAAAAATTATCAGCTAATTAAAATACTTAAATATGCATCACGGTATGGGAGCCAAAAACAAAGGTATACGAAGATTTACATATATATATATATACATATATGTATATATATAGAGCAATGACACCAGTTTACAAACCAGTGAAATTCGTTTATACGAAAGAAGGAAAGGCGGTAATTCATTCAGAATATAATAAAATAATTCAGATGATTAATGATTTGGAATGTTATATTTTTAAAAATAAGAAGGGAATTGCTGAAGTTTCCTACATCACTATGATTGACGGTGCAGTAGCTAATGTTTTAACAAACACCAATTCCTCAAGCAGATGTTTCATATGTCATGCAAGCCCAACAGAAATGAATAATATTGAACAAAACAAAATACCAAATCCAGATCATTATAAATTTGGGTTATCAACCCTCCATTGCTGGATTCGATTCTTTGAATGTCTATTACACATAGCCTACCGTCTGCCTTTTAAGACATGGCAAGTCAGAATGGAAAATAAGGCTAAATTTATTGAAACTAAAGCCCGTATCCAAAAAGAGTTCAAAATTAAAACAGGTTTGATAATTGACCAAGTCAAGCAAGGGTTTGGAACAACAAATGATGGAAACACAGCTCGACGTTTTTTTGAAAATATTGACGTTGCCGCAGAAATTACTCGTCTGGATAAGTCTCTAATCCATAATTTTTCTCTGGTGCTAAGAGTCCTCTCTTGTTGAAAACAAATAAAAACCCAAGAGTTTAGTGTTTTGTTGAACGAAACAAGAGAGTTATACCTTAGAAATTATGGTTGGTATAACATGCCAAGTTCAGTGCATAAAGTTTTAGTACATGGATGTGATGTAATTAAATACTTTGATTTACCAATAGGTAATGATTTTAAAGCTATGTTTTCATTTATTTTCTTAATCTGTATTTCCACCTATTTTATCAGGTTCATTATCAGAAGAAGCCTTAGAATGTTCACACAAAAACATAAGAAAATATCGGCTTAATCATTCTCGAAAAACTGGAAGAGTACAAAGCAATACGGATTTAATGACTCGTTTGATATTATCGTCAGATCCATTAGTTGCATTTAAAAGAAATATAAAACAGAGAAACAAATATTTAAAGGGTTCTGATCTCAGCTTTAATAAATACATTGTTGAAAGTGACGAAGCAGACAAAAGCATGGAATCATTTGAATCAGTGATCACTTCCTCCTCTTCTGAGGACTCTGAAACTGAGTGATTATAACAACTAGTTCGGTTTTTATTAACATATTATATGTTATTACCATATAACAGCTATTATTACTTACTTACTTAACAGTGATTATGCTTTATTTTAAATGAAATCAAAAGAATTTTTTTTTCTAAAGGTTAACATGTAAGGAAAACCGACTTAATTTTTCAAATTACCATAATGTATTCACTTAGGAAGTAAAGTTTAGACGAATTTTGACTATTAAGACTATTTTTCTGAACACTTAGCAACAATGATATGCCATAATTCATTTTTAAATAATCATGTGCAAAAACTCGGTGTTTTTTTAATGGGTACCCGTTACAAAAAAACCGATTACTTTCTTAAAATTAGAGTAATATAGACACTTCAGATGTAAAGTTTCAATAAATTCTGACGACTCCTTCCTGTTTTCGTAAACACCACATTCAGCAATGATTATGCCTTATTTGTCTTTCATATAGTAATGTAAAAAAAAAATCTTTTTTTTTTAATGGGTACCCGGTACCGAAAAATCGATTTCATTTTTGAAATAAGCATGGCTCAGTCCTTTTAGGTGTAAAGTTTCAACAAGTTCTGAATACTATTTCGGTTTTTATAAACATATGTCTACGATGATTATGAGTTATTTTACCTTTTTATAAAATTGTAAAAAAAAAAATTTTTTTAATTAAATGGTAACAGATGCTGAAAAACCTTTTTTTTTCTTAAATTGCCGTGATATAGTCCTTTCAGGTGTAAAGTTTCAGCCCATTCTGATGCCTCCTTCCACTTATATCAACACATGTCCACAATGACTATTTTCATATAAAAATGCAAGAAAAACTCGGTTTTCTCGAAATGAGTAACCGGTACAGAAAAACCGATTTCATTTTTGAAATTAGAGGGGCATAATACTTCTAGGTGGGAAGTTTCAGCCAATTCTGACCACTCCTTCTATTTTTGTCCATCATTTGTATGGAGTCGCGGCACTGTGCGCCGTTGATCGCCCACCTAGTTACCTGGTTCAGGTAACCTCGAGCTAGATAAAAAAGAGTGTATAGAAATTGTCCCTTAACCAAAAGTTTCACATCATTTACATAGACGATGACCTGAAAGCCCAATTTTTAAAATTCCTCCAGAAGGTCGTTTACAGCCGCAATCCAGATCAGGGGAGAGAGAACACCAACTTGCGGAATGCCCCCCATTGACTCTGCTCTGAGTGCAAGCGCTCCTCCACTACTCCGCGACAGTTCTGTCACGAAGTAAGCTGTAGATAAGCCTTATTAGGTTGGTCTCAACCCCAAGATTATGCATATACTTGACTATTGCCTCTAGATTGACATTGTTGAAGGCTCCTACTGCATAATATTTAAGTGTGAAGACTTCCTCTGACCACTTTAACAATGTGCGCAGGGCGGTATCCACCGAGCTTTCCTTGCAATAAGCATACTGAAGTCTTGAAAGACAGTTACGAGGTATCGCGATTCTTATGTCCTGGTCTATCAGTATCTCTAGCGTTTTTAGCAAAAACGAAGACAGACTGATGGGCCTAAAATCACTAGAGAAAACATGAGAGCTTTTTCCGGCCTTTGGGATGAACACAACACTGACTACCCAAGCCTTGGAGATGTACCTGGTCCCCAGGCAATTGCACGACTTCTCCAGAGCCTTTTGCAGCTGCACAGGTAGGATGCCATCGGCCCTCGGCGACTTTAATAATTTGAAAGAATTTATCGCCTAGGCTATGTGACCATCGTCCAGAAGAACGGAGAAGTACATGACCTGAAGTACAAAATATCGCAAAGAAGTACATATGACTGTACTTCGAAGTACGCAGTACAAGAGCTAAAAAGAGGTACTGGACTTCCGAAAGAAGTACGGTTGGTCACACTATACTTGACCGTACTCATACATAGTCGTGCATGGCGTATGAGTAACATTTCCCATGTTAAATTTTGAATTTTTCCATTCGCAATGCAAACTCAAAATGAAAATATCTTGGGAAAATTACCTGATCAAGAAAAACGGTATACCGATCCATAATCTACGACGCAAAATTATATTAAGGTGTCTTGGCTTCTTTGTGTCTCTACTGTGTAATTGAAGTCGCTCCAATACCAGCACTTGGCAGCTTTAAATAAAACGAGACGTTATATATTCATCTTCCCGTCAAAGCACCCGTTACCTTTAAAAGGTACTCGAGAAAACGGTCCTACGTATATTTAGTACTGTTCTTTCTAATTATGTTTATCTACATGTGCATATGCATGTGCATTTTGGCTATTTTACTGAAATATTTTTCATATCAATTAGCATTACATTACATTTCAGCTTTGCGTAACTTATAATGTCTAACGTTAATTATTATTTTTTTAAGGAAGATTTAATTTAAGCACTTATTTGCTCCACCATAAACACTTATGCGTAATGCCTATTTCAACTTTAATTCCTGTCATTCCATTAGCTTCGCTTAGCTCTTTCGTAGCACCATAAGGCACGATGTTGAATTACTTCCCCATTGAGTTAGCTATTAAGCTTCACGCATTAGATGCATGTGCCAGAATATTTTACCCACAAATGCTGATTAACACACAAGCAATCAGGTGTCACTGCTGGATTTTTAAACTAAAATCTTACAAACTCACAAAAATATACGAAACAGCTTGCCAATACTTTAATTTGAAAATTTTCAATACGGGAAATTAAACGTGGAATGCTATGTTACACTAAATATACAAATACATACATAAAAACAAGGGACTGTACTGAAACTGGAAAAGTAGGAGTACTTCTTTATGTTAGTAATTTGCAAAACATAAAATTCACTTACCGCACTTCATTTGCTCTTCTTCTTCAACGGCGCGCAACACAGCCGAATTGGCCAAGTTCAATGGCTTAGAGATTTCTGGGTCAACTTCAATCCTGGAAAGTAAAAAAATAAATTCTAAGTTTAGAAAAGCTGCTCACAACTTGCAAACAACTATGCAATATAAATACTTTTAATATTAAAAAATAAATAAATTGGTTGTGCTTCTACGTTTTGCCAAATATTTTGTCAAGCTTTTCTTCCCGTGTGTAATTGTATTTGAAAGTCATCACTTAAATAGAGGTATCTATAGATTTCCGCGGCCAACGAACGGCAAGAAAGTGTTTTTTATTATATTGTTTGATTTAAACATTGCACCGAACAGAATTGAAAATGAGTCCTACCAACTGACGCATCTCTAACTAATCTACTGCGGGGACTTTAGTGGCCGCATTGGGCTTAAGAGCTTACCAGGACTATTTAATATAATCAATCGCTTATATATGCTTTTATACAGTAAATGATACTACTTGTACAATATTCAGAAAAGTAATGAAATGAATTCCACTAAAAATGTGTCCTTTATTCTTCTCAGCGTATACACACACACACACACACACACACACAAGTAAACGGATATCCAACAATAGGGTAGCATAAGTATTTATGGCTCCCACAAGTGGCGTTTTACGTAAAGTACAGCGCACTTCATCGATTTTAATTTTACTTCAAATATGTGCATAGGTTGAACATACATACGTACATACATGCGTAAGTGCAAATATGTAAACAGCCAATAAAAAATAAAATTAAGCGGAAAGAAATGTTATGCTTATAAAAGCGCTCATACATTCGTACTTTTTTGGATGGGTGTGGATATATGCACATGTGTACATAAATATGTGCCTGTAAAATGTGCCTGTGTGCTTTTCGTAACCACAAAAAAAAGAACATTTTTGTAAAACCTATGTATTAGATTTGATCGGCCACTTTAGTATTCTTCAAACTCTATAGACAGAATTGTCTTAAAGTCAAATTTTTTTGCAGGATCAGTGCTGTCTCCTTGAATATAACAAAGTTTAACTTGTATTTAACATTATGCTGATAAATGTTATAGCTGCATCTCAATCTGTTGTGCCCAATGGTCTTACTCCGAATTATGGGATAAAAATTATGCCTAAGAACATGGTGAAAGTTTGCGCCAAATTTTAACTAATTCAGCCGTTTCGGTATAAAAAACAACTTATCTTTCGAAGATAGTCTTTATGTGTAAGAATACAATTTTAATTTCATAATAATGCAAAATTTTTTTTTATTTAACATAATGGAAAAAGTTTATTTAATACATTTTAAAAATGTGAATGCTTTCTAAAAAATGCTTTTATCTAAGTTACAATTAAAAATTGACTACTTTAGTAAAATTTTAATTTTGAAAGAGTAAGCGACTTTCTTATAACAAAATTTGTTTGAAAAATATATGCAGAAATAAAGCTTTATTAGCCCTCTCTCTTTTAACACACATATTCGAATATATTATTACATCTGTTAACCATACTGATTTTAAATGTCTACCCGGTGGCAACCCCCTCCAATTATATATTAGAAAAAATGCTCACTTAAACATCTTTCGTTTGGCACCCGTATTAAAATATATCATTTAACTCGTTAATTTGATCCTGAATTTACAAACAAATGGCAACCGTCTTCAAAATTTTTATCGAAATGAAGATTTCTTAGACCTATCGTAGATTTGGTTCCCATATGATAAACATATTTCGTTTAACTTGTTTACTAAATTGATTTTTAACTCTCAAACAGGTGGCAACGCTCTTAAAAATCAAATTTTTCTTTTCGACATAAACCTTTCCCAAACCTCTCTCGTTTGTTTTCCAGATATAAATATTTCTTTTACATTTTTAATTAAATTGATTTTAAAATTTTGAATGGCTGGCAACCCTCTTCAAAGTTATTTCGAAATAAATCGTTTCTTTTGAACCCACATTCGCGTAATAAATATTTTCTTAAACCTATTGAATAATTGATTTTTACTTTTAATGAAAAGGTGGCAACTTTCTTAGAAAAAATCCTGAATATTATTCCAGGTCATCATCTATCCGCGTGCCAAATTTTAAATGTATATATATGCCCAGCCATTTTAGCGTGAAAGAGCAAGAAACATTCTCACACTTTAACTGACTCACAGACTTTCACATTTTTAATATTACTAAAATTGTATTATAGCGTAAGTGTATTTAATTTTAATATCTTGCAGCCGCACTCAGAGTCATTTTGACTCTCCTATCGAGTTTGGAGCCATAACCTTATGTTAGTAGGCATACTATGAGGTCAGAGTTTGTTTTTACTTGTAAGGGTTAAGATGAACAATAGCCTTTACAGGTTGCTGCAGAGATAGTCGCCGACATGCTCAATATATCCGAAGGTCACGAGGTTCTCCCGACCAATGAGCCGGCTTCCTTAAGTCTTACAGCAACCTCCCCAACAAATAGATATGGTTGGAACACAACATTTGTGACTTCCCTAGTAGGGCTGGATCAAAGAGTCCCGCCTATACATAATTATGCGTTTCTTTAACTCCAATTTTGCGATTCCCTCTAATGCATATTCGATTCTTGAAAATAAGTAAAGATTCCTGAATAAGTGGCAATACGCTGGCTTATTTAATGCGCACACTGCTCAAGGACGATGTAGCGAAAACCACACGCAGTCGCAGCCGCTGCCGCTGCCATACCCACAGCCATCTACATACATAGCAGCATAGCGGTAGCTAAGGAACCGCACAACCGAATAAGCGAGCAATTGAACAGCACAGCCGAATCAGCAAACAGTAAATGGGAGCGCAGTGCGAGCAGTCAAGTGCGACGTTAAGCAACCTTCAATGTTGCATGGCGCAGATATGATAGACGCAGTGGCAAGTGGTACGACAGCGGCGGATGAATGGAATTTATGCAACATACCGCATGCATATGTATATATGGAAATTCATATACACATGAAATCGTGTGTGATTGCAACTGTTGTGTGTGGCTTTTGGCTGCAATACCTTTGCAGCAGCAACATTCAACCGACCTGCCGTTCTTTTGTGCGCTTGGGCATGTGCTATGGCTTAAAATAAGGGAATTTATTTCGTGCATAAATTATCATATTAAATAGCAAACAGGCTGGCAGCCAGCATTCAGCATTCAGTATGTAGATGGCAGTCGGCAGCAGGGTTGCCACTTTGGTAAATTATTACCAAAATTGGTAGAAAAAATTCCGGTTGGTAAAAAGGTACATTTTTTGTCATTTTGGTAGATTTTTGTTAAAGTATTTTACTTGAACTTTAAAACTTCTCGTTCTCGCTTTATTTGTTGTAATTATCTTTTTATTTTAAATCCCTTTCTAAAAGTATAGTCTACTTAATTGCATTATTTTTCGAACGCTTTCGATAAAAGGCGAACATATCGTGTTCTATTCAAACTCATTTTGCAGAGGATCTTATGATTGCCTAAATATTTTAAATGATTCTTCAAATAAAAATAAAAAATGAACAGGCACGTAATGGCACACTATGATTGATTGTTCTCAAAAAAAAATTTAAAAAAATTAACGGCGGTTTTATAAATGGCAGTTTTTAAATTAAAAAAGAAAACGACACGAAAATCCGGTGGCAAAAAAATTTAAATTAACGGGAATTTTTATGTGCACATTGTTGGTTAAACTAAAATTCAATGGACTGAAAACTGTAAACCCAAAAATTGTTTTAATAATTCAAAAAAAAAAAGTTCGAAATTTTGGCTCTAATTTATTAAATTCTTCTAAATGTGGTATATGCATAGCTTTAGTCCTTGATTTTCATGATTTTCGTTAAAGCGCAAACAATATCCTTTTACAAAAACAACATCATAAAATTTTTAGCTGAAAAACATTATGAATATTATAGAAAAATCACCAAGCGATTTTTACAGTCACTGTATTTGTCTGTAATAACTCCAGCTGTAGTTTTTTCAAATGATGGAGTTTCGTTGTTGCCTTTAGTTTCATCATCTTTGCTTTTAGTTGAAGGAAACCGAGAAGATGTCATTAATATGACCTCAAATATAATATCATTGGTTAAAGAAAAATTACTTACTAAAATTTTTTTTATTGAAGTAACTAAACAAAGAACAAATCTATAGTTTTTATTAAAATAACTAAAAAAGTTTTTGGTAGATATTTTCTAGATTTGGTAGATTTTTTTAAAATAGATGGTAAGTATTTATTTTCGTCAGTGGCAACCCTGGTCGGCAGTCGGCAGTCGGCAGTCAGCAGCGAAGCGAGCAGTCATGCTGCCAAGCATGGTTTCAAGTGGTGTTATGTTAGTGGAGGCAATGCTGGAGAAGGTGGTGGCATACAAACACTCACACACACACACATACAGCTCGCACATTGAAACAACTATGGAGGGTAGCCGATATTGCAACTTGCAAGAGCATACGTTTGCTACACGGCAAACAAGTCTTGTTTTTCAAATACTTGTTGGCGCTTGCTACAAGCACCCCTACCTCACACCGCATACTGTGGTATATACTTACTTACATACCCCGCAGCAAAAAAGTATCAGTTGATAAAAAATAACCCACTTGGAGTTAGTTTTTTTGCGGGGCTTCTATAAAATATATAACTTGTACTTGGCTATAAAAGTTAACTTAAAACCAGTTGACAAGTAATGAGATTGTTTTCTTTCTATTTAAATATCCTGAACTTCGCAAATACTCTTTCGAATTTAGGACAAATAAATGGAAGATCGAAATTTCATATTATCATTTTGAAGTTATGTCTGACGGAGTTCGAATATGGGAGCACCTACAGCAGAATACGTAAACAAATATGAAATGTAATAAAACAAATAAAGTAAATAAATAAAAACATAAAAAATTTTTTTTTGATTTTCCTATTGATATTTTATGCCCAAAAGTATGTAGTTAGTTACATCAAATGCCGAAGTAACCACCCTTGGCTATAGTATGCTTTCGTCAAAGAAAATATACAGATAGTAAGTGACTTTTAGCTCCTTCCTAATGAATTTAAAGTTAGCTTATAGTTAGATACATGTCCTACAGGGTATGCATGTACATAC